GAATTAATCATATGTCTGTTCCGCGAGTATGCTATATGATAATTGGAGTTTTTACACTATTGTCATATACATTTCTCTATTGCGGTGCAGGAGAGATTTTAGCGGGACATGTAAGTTGTAATATGTGTATCCATTAATAAATATAATACAAAATAATACTTTTCAATTTCCATTTTTTTTTCCATTGTAATCAATTAATATTTTTGCATTATGAAAACAATTTTTTTAAAAATTAAAAATATTGTTATACATGTATATTTAATTTATATATGTCTATTTTTTTTAATTATTTCTATGATTTAATCAAAATTATTATTATGCAATACAATTATTACATTTTATAAAGTTTTTCTTATTTTGTTTTTGGGTATAAATAAAAAATTAAATCTTAATTAATTATTTATATTAAAAAATATACCAACCATACTATACATTATACAACTTATAAATTACATATACATTTACACAGCTTCATAATGAGTAAAAAATATAATGAGAATAACATCTCATATAGCACAAATGTTCAAAATACATCACAAGGATATCTTGAAAATATCGCGATATCTTTAGGATATCTCTGTGATGTATTTTGGATATTTCTATTGTATAGGATATAATATATTTATATGTTTTTATATGTACCAAGTGCGAAGCAGTATATCGTGCTTTGTGTAATCTTAAATGGTATAAATTGGAACCACAAAAGGGAAAAAATATTATTTTACTTTTGATACGTGCTAATGAACCATTTCGTATCACCGCGGGAAAAATATTTTCACTAAGAATGACCACATTTTGCAGTGTGAGTAATAATTTAAAATTTTATAAATATTTTATTATATACTTAAAATTTAATATTATTTCATACTTATCACTAATGTTTCGTTTTTGAAAAATTATAATATATTCTGACATACTTGTGATTTATATCATATATTTTAAAAGATTTCTTATGTTTTACATTTATGTTTTTAATTTTTTAATGAAAACAAGTATTATTTAATTAAAAGTATTATTTAAAAAAGTAACTAATTATGTAATTAATTATAAAAAGTAACTGATCGATATAAATATATTTTTAATTTTTATTTTATAAAAATATTACTTAAAAACTTTTTTAAATTCAAATATGTGATAACATTGCGTAATATAAAATAGCTTCCATTTCTTTCAAAAAAATTTTTATTTAGATTAAATATAATCAATTTTTGAAATAGTCAATTAAAATTTTTATTAAAACAAATTTTTTTGTTTTGTATTATTATTAAAAGAATATTTTTCTAGTTATTAAAAACGTCGGCTGGTTACATATCATTTTTACTAGCAATGCGAGATTGATTTATAAGAACTGTATTGTATTTTATTTATTCATTCAAATAGGAAAAATAAAATAAGAAGATAAGTTTAATATATTTTAAACTAAATAAAAACAAATAATATAATAATTATATTTATTAAATTATATTTATTAGAATAGATATAAATTTATTATTTAGTGTAAATTATATATGTATATATTATAAATATTGACATAAGTTTAAGGTTTAATATTTTGATTTAAAGTATATTTTTAAGCTTATAATTTTTAGTTATATAATAAACAAATTAGTGCTCAAATAAATATATTTTATTTAAGTTTATTATAATAGACGAAATATTTTTATAAAATTATAATCTAAAATATATTATAAAATTATAAATGCCTAATATAATACTACGTACAAATTCAATTCAGAAAGAATATATGTATATATTCTTATTACACGGATGAAAAATATAATACTATTTCGGAATATTCATAGAGACGTAGTTTATAGATTCTTTTCAATTTATCATCTTTCTTTTGACGAAAGTTTTTTTTGTGTCCATCTGTATACCTCTATAGAGGTTAATTAAAAATTTAACACATAAATTATCGTTGGTTATGGTACGTTATAGATCTCTTTTTTAGTGCACTTGCATTAATATTTTTTTGTGACACTTTTTTATGCCCGTGTAAAGTTTCTTTATAAACTGTAGGTCTGTTTTCAAGTAATAATAGCATTTGCAATATTTAATGAGTCTTTCGACGGAGTAGCCATTTGTTGTACATCACGTGCATGCGTAATAACTACTTTGCGCAGAGAAATTGCAAACACCGAGTTCCTCCTCCGAGTATTAGTCTTGATATGAACTTTATCAAACATTCAGGTTATAAAGGTATCTAACATTTGTAGCACATAAATAAAAGTATCACATAAATAAATAAAAGTTATTT